TGATTTATTTTATTTCTATTTCCACACACACAATGGTCAAAATATATTCAAACAATGACGATTTGGGTGTATTTGTATTTAGATGTGATGAACGTAATATTTTCTGTCGATGACATTTCATTGATTTGAATCGAGAAAAAAAATTGAAACAATTTTCAAGATCAAATTGTTTCAATTTCAAAACTTTTCATTTCAAAATTATAAATTTCAAACAAACAAACAAACGAAAAAAATCCAGACTACAAACACTGGACACTTATCTTTTTTAAAAAAATAGATGCCGCATCTCTTTTTTTTTCAATTTTATCTGATGTTCGTATGGCAATCACGTTTTCGTACAACGATACTTTCGACATTACATTTGGGATAATAAACATGGATTGTTTTTTTTGTTTCGGTTTGGTTATTACATGATCAAGACATTATCATTATCATCATTGATGGACCAATCTTCAAAGATGGTTTTTATTGTTGCTGTTGTTGTTGTCGTCGATTACAACAACAACAATAATAAAAAATTCAAGCAGATGCTTCAAATCAATCAAAGGATCAAGTATTACTTAACCGAAAAAAGAATCCAAGGAAAAAAGCCCGGAAATTTTTTTGGAAAAAAATACTTTTTGAAAATTTTTTTTTCGGAAGAAAATTCCTCATAATCATCATCAATCAAAAGGAAAAAACTTCCCTGGCAAAAAAATTTCTGTAAACTTTCTCTTCTCTCCGCCCCTTTCAGAAAAAAAACGAAGACAAAATTCATCAATAAATTAATGAAAGAAAAAAAAGTTGTCAAAATGATTAATAATTGATTATCATCAACAACCAAACATACCACCAATATCACTATAATAAAATCAATTGAATGATGATGATGATGACAATGTCCTTTACTCATCATCATCATCGACAAACTCTTTTGACATTATCATCATTATCATTGAAAGTGGGCGTCAATCAAAGAAAAAAATGGGCGTCCACTATCATCATCATCATCATCAAACAACTTTATCAATTTCAATCAAATCAAATAAATGAAATGAATTAGCTTCGTTTTTCTTTCTGGATGATGACGATGATAATGATGATGTTTAGCTTTTGCAGATCTCTCTTGAGGATGTTTTTAGGCAAATAGCAAACCAAACAATTCATTCATAATTGATTGGAAAAAATGAATGAATGATTTTCCGAATTTTGGTTGTATAGGGATAACGATTTGGTGGAAATAGCAAAATCAAAGTAAAATCATCATCATTATCAATTAACTATTTAGGAAAAACGCTAGGAAACTTGGAATAAATGATAGAAAAATGGATACAAACAAACAAAAACAAAACGAAAAAATTGAAAATAAATTTTGTATGATGATGAATGAATGGTAGGGAATGTTCTATTAATTTTGATTTATTTATTTATGTGTACAGATGATCAGAGAAATATTCCCGGAAAGCCATTAAGTTGGGAAATCAAAAAACAAAACAAAAAAAGTTGTGACCTGACTTGGAAATGAGAGAAAGAAACAGAAACAATTTTTGAAGAAACAAAATCTGACCAAAATGGATTTCCAGACTAATAATGATAATAATCAGCGAATGATGATGATGATGATGATGATGATGGAAACTTTGTAATCAAAATCGAAAACTAATCAAATGATGAAATTCTGTTTTCGTTTTTGTTTACAAAGTCGTCGTTTGTTTGTTTGTTTGTCTAATGGAAATTTTTTTTTCCAAAAAATCAAAATCATCAATTGTTTGTCATTTTAAAAAGAAGAAAACAAAAACTTCAAACATTATAATTAATTAATTAACTTTAATCAATATGGATTTGTAAACAAACGAAAAAAACAAAACAGACAACCGAACTGAAAACTGGAGAAATTTTCCCGAAAGTAAAGTGTCAACAACCGAGAATGGTGAATTACATTATCGGGTTGGAAAAAATGTTTGTTTGCATTTGAATATTTATCATCAAAAAGTACCATGTGGAACTCTTGGGGAACTATGTTGACAGATTTTTTTTTCTTTTTTTAAAAAAGATAGTGCTGGTGAATGGTAAAAAAGACAATCAATCTATGTTCCTGTTCTTCTAGTTGTCTATTTTTTGTTTCATTCAATGTGAAAAATAATGTTTTAAAAAAATAAAATAATCTCTTTGAAACACAAGGAGTATATATGCATGGTGTCGATCTGTTTTTTGAAACACCATTTTTATTGATGACAAAATGAATGAATGATAATGGCAATGATAATGATAATTGATGATTATTAAATGATATTAACCATCATTTAATAATCATCATCATGATCTTTTCTGGATGGGTCTGTTTGTTTGTCTTGAGAACCTTTTTTTTTGTTTGTCTGGGTAATCCTTATTATTATCATCAGCATCATACTTGAGATTACGGAGGGGTTAAAAATGAACGTTTTATTAATTATGAAATTATTGAAAACAACACAAAGAAAGACAAAAGAAAAGCAGAAGGAAAAACCCGGGTATTAGGATGAAAATCTTGAAAGAAATTTCTACGGTAAACCGAAACAAAAACTTTTCCAAAATTTTCATCAACAAACAACAACAAGATAAAAAAGTGTGAGGGGTTGAAGAAAAGAAAAACTTTCCAGGAAACTCGAGAAAAAAATTCACACCAAAGCCATTAATATTATGAGAAACAGTAAATAAAAAATAATAATAATATCTATATTTTATATGCTACAAAACAAAACAAAAAAAAGGGTTTTGATAAAACTCTTTCTACACACTAAGCACATCATTATTAATAAAGCAAAAAAAAAAAAAATATTATGAAATTCAAAATGAATAATAATAATGAATAAACCCAAAACTGAAACTAAGCTAATATTATGATATATATTTAGACATTAAGAATTCTTATATCTTGCCTTATTCATTCATATGTGATTTTTCGCTTTACAAAAACAAACAGCAAACAAACAAACAATTCTCTTCAAGCCTGAATCCAATCTGAAATATTTTTTTTTTGCTACCAAAAGAAAGTATAAAGTACTATGGCTTAATGTCATTTGATTTTCGTTTCATTCATTCTTTTGTAATATTTTCTTTTGCCAAAAAAGAAAATCTTACTTCTTTATTACTATCATCATCACTGATGTCTCGTGCTGTGTGCTGTTGTTGTTGATTTTCTTGCAGCAAAAAAAGTCAAAACAACAACGAAAAAAAAGGATAAAAAAGTGATTCAAACATGGAGAAATGGAAACAAAAAAAAATTTATTATTTACTCCACTCACTAAGCTTATTTTTATTTTGTTTTGGTCGAAAACAAAACAAAGAAAGAAAAAAATAACGGGAAAAAACTTGACAAACCAAACGAAATATCAAAAAAGAGTGTGAATGGGATTCTCACACCGAGAGAGAGAGAGAGAGAGAGAAAGAAAATATCATTATCATTTTCTTCCAAATGTTGTGTTTTTCCATTATTAATTTAATTTCCTATGGAGAAATTCATTGATTCAAATGATGATGATGATGATAATCATCATTAATATTAATAATGGATAATGATGATCGTTATGATTATTTCCGATTTGAATGAGGAGGGAAAGGTTCCAATGTCAACATCAACCGGACCAAAACCAAAAATTATAGAAAAAACGATGCTTAGAATATCAAATAGAATTGCTGTGTTTGATCAAATTCTTTGCTTCAACCAGAAAAAAAAGAAGCAAATCAAATAGCTTCAGGGTTATCTACAGATAAAGCCTGATAACTAATATAACAATGACCTTTCTCAATGTGAGAAAAACCACCAACATTATCAGTAAAAAAAATAAACGAAGATTGAATTGAATTTTGATTTTCAAAATTTAATGTAAAAATGTTGAATATGATGATGATATTCGTTTTTTTTCCATAAAATGTGATTATGTAATGCGAAAAAAGCGAATTTCTCCACAAAAATTTCTCTTTATTTTCACTCAATGGTTAAATTGGAATATAATCTCTATTTTCCTGTCCTGTTTCTGGTCTTCATTGTAACATTTTTCATTTCATTTTTGCTTAGCGAAAAAAAAGATGATGATGGCCATTCTTTGATTTCTTTAAAAAAAAATATCTTTCAATTTTCTCTTTGTAAACATAGAAAAATTCCATTTTCAAAGAATCATACAACAAAAAAACATCAACAATGTTGATTCACTTAAGAAAGATTTTTTCCTATTATGATGCTCACTTTTTAATTTAAAAAAAGAAAAATATTTAACGAATAAACGAACACAAAGATTTTCAAAACCAGCATCTTTTATGAAATTGTCACAACATCAATGTGGAATGTGAAAAAAGGCCAAATCAATTAAGGCTACAAACAAACAAACAAAAAAAAACATGGTCCATTCTTTTTCTTTCTTTCATTTTGGTTTTTCGTTTCATTTCATTTTGGAAACATTAAGACCCAGAAAAATACACCTTCAATTCACTTTACTTTAAAACATCATAATGATCATAGCCAGTAATGATAATGACTTGCAATCAAAGAAAACCTTAAAGACTTTCTCTTTCAAATAGAGAAAAATTCTTTGAAAATAACATTTTCAAAAAAAAAAGAAAATGTTTACGGAATATTTCTCGCATTCTTCGCAACAGTGAAACAAAACAAAAAGATTTATTATCCATTCTCAATATTAATAAATGAATGAATGAATCACATACACACACACACACACAAAATGGAAACATTTTTTATTTCATACCAACAACATCATCATCATCATTGTTACATAATGATGATGAATGATGATGATGATCTGAATCAACACACAGTGAAAAGTACAGAAAGAATCAAAAGATATAAATCTTTTTCGAACCCAGCAGCAGCAGAAGTTGAAAATGAAATGCGGGTGAAAATGAAAATTAAATAATTTTCATCATAATCATATCTGACATGACTGACTGACTGTGTATGTGTTTATATTATTTCGCACATCTTTCTTAATAAATGAAAAATTGAAATTGAAATTGATAAAACTCACGTGGATTATGACTTGCCGTTACCAATATTTGATGATCATCACGTAACCAAGCAACAATACGTACATAATCACGAACAATCGATGGTATATGACAACGCATTATAGCTGTATTTTCTTTGATTACAAATTCATCATATACTTGTAGTTTAAATGATTGATGTACCACTTTGGATTTGGAATATCGATGGTTTGATGACACGGAAATGATGACCAAATATGCAAATCATGGAAAATAAAACAAAAGGAAAAATTAATTATTAGTTTGTTGGGAAACAAAAAATCTGAAAAAATTAATTTAACATTTTGAATTTTGTTGTTTTTTTTCAAAATGATAACGATAATTATAACTTTTGTTGTTGTTGATCTTGCTTTTGGAAATAAATTCCCAGCTTGAATTGACTTGTTTTTCGTTTGTTAAAGTTTAATTTTTTGAATTTTCAAATCTTTTTACTCGTTTCTCAGTTGCAACGAAAAGTTTAAAACTTTTAAAAAGAAAATGAAATTTAAATATTAAATGAGTCGAAATAGAATCATCAGAATATGAAAGAAAGAAATGCTCCTCATCTCTTTATTCGGCTAAACACACAAAAACTATTTTCAAGAAATAGAAAAAGATTCACAAAAAAAAACAAGGCAGGCCATAATTAAAATCTGTTTCATTCGTTCATCAGAATACAAATTATAATCCGCAAAGAGAGAATATTCTTCAAAAGAATCTTCTAACCAGTTTTGTATACGGCCATTATCATAAACATGGCTCCTTATCCCCACACACACACACACAGATGATGTGATGACAGTATTTTTTCAGTTTCTGGCCACTTGCCTGTCGGTTATCATTATCATCATCATCATCATTGACTATATTACCGTAAGCTAATTTTATTTTTGTCATTTTTGCTTCGTCAAACACACATAAATATACCAGTGGATTTTGTTTTGTTTTTCGTTTCGAACCGGATAAAGTTAATAATAATAATTTTTCATTACAAACTCTATTTATATACTGCTATTCTCTGCTATCGTCGGTTATTATTTACCCGACATTTTTATTTGGATACCAGATTCATGGGAATCGATTTTTGTTTTCATCGTTCCATTCAAGTATCATTCATTTATTCGTGGAAAAAATGAAGTGGATTTCCTGATAATGATTATTATTATTATTATCTGACTGTCAATCAAAAAAAAAAATCCAAGTTTTCTTTTGCTTTAGGGGTAAATTTTCCCACAGAAAAACAACAAATCAATATCATTATATCATGGAAAAAATGAATCAAATCAAGTTTGGATCAAATGTAAATGACCAGAAAAAAACTACACTACCATTCGGACTCTGAAAGTCCAGAAAAAACACAATTATAATATACGCTTAATTAACTTCAATTAGTACGTGCTTCTCCCACAACACACAAACAAACATAACCAGAGAAAGAAAAAAAACATTAAACATCATTGAAAATGGCAAGATCATCAACCAAAACAACCCAAAACAACAACAACAACAAAATCAAAGTAAATGATCCAATCGAGAGAGAGAGAGAGAGAGAGAGAGAGAGAGAGAGAGAGAGAAAGAGAAACAAATGTTTAATCGAGATCCATATCATAGAATGAAAACAAAAAA